GGGGGTACTTGTTCTGCATACAGGGGAGGGAGATACAGAGGAATAGCCCTGAGGGTCTGCACACTTGTATGCCGTTGTCTATAGGCTACGCAGAGCTGTCCTGCGTACCCCAGAGGTACCTTCTGTGGGATGTCTTATGTCTGTTTGACCAAGCCCATCTGTTGCCACTCCTTCCAAAGTATCTCTTCTTTCTGTTGTGTGGTGTACTGAGTCTACAGTACTTAGATCTATATTATTTGGACCTATTTTACTCATGATAAACACTGTAATTGTTAGAGACTTGAACAGAAGATCAGTCTAGGTTTTCTTATGAATGGAAGTATACAAATGTTTTGTTCCAGATTAGAATAAAATAGAAAAGACTGTACTTATAACAAAAAATGGAGGTAGGTTGTTATAAATTACTTTTTTTTTTTTTTAAATAGACTTTTCTTTGTAGGCACTTAAAATTTATGATAAGGTATTTCTGTTTGTGTATAACAACACTGCTATTTACTAAAAATTTCAACTTTCATTTTATGGAGCATTTCACAGGCAGCACCTCATTAATGATTTATATTTTATCTTTCTCCCACTAACTAGAGAGGGATGAGAAGGACCCTACTAAACAGTGTTTCACTGGTTCCTTTGAAAAGAATGTTTAAAGTTGCGATTTGCAAAGCGATCAGGAGACTATAAAGCCACCTTCCACCAAACGTCAGCTGAAATTGGGTTCCTTGATCCCTTAGGCTCTTTTGAAGAACTCGTTTTGATATAAACGAAGATGGTATATGAACCCTTACAACAAGCCCTTAGCATGAAAGGGTTGGGTTTTTTTTTTAATATTATTTCAATAGAAGTACGGAGATGGGGCAGTTACTTCACACAAAGTCTGTTCTTTTTCTGTTCTTTGAGTAATGATGTAAGAACTCTTTTTTACCTCTGGACATTACAGACTTCATTTCAGATGACTACCACTCCTTTTTTCTTTATACAGCCTTAGCCTAAGAGGTAGGTAATGTTCCTTCCCATATATTCCAGTATGCTTAACATATATTGATGCAGCTGTGTACAAGTAAACATGAAAAATGACACAGCTTTACTTGCTCAGCATTTCTATCTCAAGCTTTAGTCGAAACGTGGCCTTTTCCTTTTTATTCCTCTTACTTCCTTATTCTTTTCATTCACAATTACCTTATGGGAATGCAGCATTTCAGAAAGAGGCTTAACATACAAATGTCATGCACATACACTTAAAAACCAATCTGAGCTGAAGAGCTTTACCGAAAACCTAGCGCATCTCACCTTCTCTGCCGGATTTTCTTTCTCAGCTATCAGAGATGTTTACTGTTTAACACATTAATTTCCATTATCTGTCACTGAATTTATAACCTGCAGTAGGTCTCAGTCAATAGTACCACCTTATTAAACTAATCAGGAAACAAAATGTACTTATTTCCTCTCCAGCAGGACAGGTGAGTTAGTTTTTTCCACAACAGAAACAGATTGGTATGATGCTAGAGGTGGCTATCCACATTGTACTGAAGATGAGACATTTCCAGAAAGCAAGTATTCCTGCTGTTCCAAAACAGATATCTGATCCGTTAGCTACGATAAACTTTTGGAATTTAATTTGGCCAATTTCTGTTCATTTATTTACAGGCAGCTCCTTTTCTTCAAAAATCATCCCACTCTAATTCTTTCTTTATGTTAAAAACATACGAAAAAAACATTTTGACTTTCCAAGCATCCTTACAGACAAGCTTACTTATAGTTCAAAGTAAGGGAAAGAAAAAGATCTCACCACTAGCAAACAAAGGATTTCCATTGCTGTTAGCACTGCTGGACCAGGATAACAGGGAAGTCTCTACTAGTCACTAAATAGCTATCACTAGCTGCCCAAAGGCATATACATACTCAATAAGATCAAGGGTCAGGCTGCAGTGAGTGAGTGACGCATGATCGGAAAAAACAACAGTAAAAAGACACCCATCGTTTTGTCACTGTGTTTGATCAGATAGAGGATGTAACTCAACACAAGGTAGCATGTGCCCTTCCTGTCCTCAGGCACTTCTTCCTTCAAACTCCCATAGAAAATTCTAAACTCTCTAAGCTTTTCTTCCCTGTAACCTCCTGACTGAAGAAAGAACATTAGACAAGACTAGTTTACCCTCCTCTTCAGCTCCTTATCGCTAAGACCTATCGCAAACTGGGACCAGTACTGCTGGTCTCCTGTTACAGTCCCTAGGACTATCCTTGCAAGCACAGCCGGTAGCACTAGGCCCACTATTTGTAACGACTCTTCCCTCCTCCCAGAAACTCGAGAGCCACCCGAGCAGGACATACCTGCACCGCAGGACATACCTGCTAAATGGAACGTTCTCTAGTGTTTATATGAACTTTTAAAATAAGCAATTCATCTCTATCAGGCTTGTTTCAACATCACAGTAGCTGTTACTCTCTGTTTAGCAATGCACGTATGCTAATACTCTACCCTAGTCAAGTAAGTCTGCAGTACAGCAAGATCTACTTTTTATTGAGGAAGAAAAGATGACACCCTCACACTCCCTTTTCAAACAGTCAAATTATTTTTACGCCACTTAAAAGTAATTCAGAAGGACTGGTTCCACCATTGACAGGAAAAAGTTATCCTATGAAAACACATGGCATTACTAGAAGTGAGAATTACAGACCCGTACTTTTGCAGCATCCTAACAAGCTTCATAACAGCTTTTTTCAATAACATGCTACAATAGAACTTGCACATAGACATAGTATTTGCAAGATTAAAAAAAAAAGAAAACATCAAAACAAACAGATCCCAATCTCGAAATATAGTACGTATGACCACTACTTTACAGGACTGCATAGAACCTTCTAATAAGAAAAGCATGTAAATAGTTGTTCTTGGTCAGAGCAATATGCTTAAATGAGACAAAGTTAGAAGTCAAAGTAAACCAAGATCAAGTGCCCCTTATACCATTGAAAAATACCCCCCCCCCTTTTTTTTTTTAATAATATATATTAGAGCTTGGCTTTTTTTTCTTTCTAGGATTTCCCCGTTAGGTCCCTCTCCATTAGGTCTTAAGAGCATGGTAAATCCATGCTTATTGCATCTCTCCAACGAAGATATACATAATTAAATTGTTCTCTTTCATGAACTCTATTTTTGCCTGAGGTACTCTGCCAGTAGATTACATAAACAGGCCGTATTTATATAGATAACAGTCAGACACCTCAAATATCCACCAAACATTGTTTTGGTTATTTCATTTTGTCATGCAACAATGAAAAAATATAGAGCAGTTCCATAATCCTTGGGGCACCTATTATTTTCTCCAAACCTAAACTGGATGGTAAGTCCTCATATCACCATGACAGATACAAAGGGTACTAAAATGTTTAGGTTCCTGAATGGGATATCTAGCGCTATGGAAAACAAGACAGCATCAATACTTTTCATCAAGGGGAGGGAAACTTGATTAAAATTTGATTTTTATTAAAAATAATTGATTTCTATAGAAATCTAGACTTTCTATAGAAATACATTAGCTTTGATTTGTGCTCATCATTCATTAAGAAAAAAAATTAAACCTCAGTCATTTTGAAAGTAAGGAGAATTACGCTGTTTTCACTTAACATTCTGAAAACTTTCTTTATAAATTCCTATTTTCAGATGCTTAGGATTCCTTCCCCATTTTTGCTGACTTTCCTCCTCTCTCCCTTCTTTTTTATAAATACAGAGAAGTGGTATAATATCAGACTAATAAAAATTTGATGGGGGTGACAGCTCTCCACATTTTCTGCTGTGTTTAGAAAGGATAAGAAAAAACTTTAAAGTTTTCAAATTGAAAATGCAAAATTACCTTTTTGTCTTGCTGGCAAAAACCCAATGCATAAATCAACACACATCACATGGTGGGGGGAGGCAAAAAAAAAAACTCCCCCAGAGAAAGACAAACAGATAGAAAAAAGGAAAGAAACATGTTCTGTGCTCTTTTCTCTGCAACACATTTAGCCAGAGAAAGAGAATGGAATCTCTGAATATCATTTCACCCTTATATGAAATCATCCTATCATACATCATCTTTTTAAAAACTCTTAAAAATTGGTCATAAGCGATTTGAAATTTCTCCAAACCAAACGAATTCTCCTTTAATAGAGCCTCAAGAATGAAAAGAACCAGAACGATCAGAACTTAGCCTGAACTGTCACGCTCAGATGTTAAAATAGATTTCAACATCCTAGAAATTCACCTGTGTTAATAGCCCATGCTTCGGCTGAAGTGATTATCAAAAAGCGTCAGCTTGTAAAACACGCATTTTAACTAATCCTACACAGCTCAGGGATACCCAAATCTGAGATTTTCAACATCAAATATACCAATCTCTCCTTTGGTATATACAGTAGCAAGATGTACCAGTCTCTCCTTTTCCGTGGGAAACAGGATGCTACTAGACATCATGCTGTGGTGTGAATTTACAGGAAACTCTGGGTGCACCCTGGATATTTACATAACAAGACAGAGCAGGGTAATGAGTGAGCTATAAATTCATACACTATTCTGCATTAGCTAGCTCATTTAAGTAAGCCCTAGCAGCCCTAGGTTTCACATGAAATAACTTCCCAACTGAAGCAAAATAATTTACTTATTCCTCAGGAACATCCTTTGCAAGAAATGCATATGGCATAGATAGCAAGCTATATATTCAAATTTTATCTTATTGTGCACTACATTCTTCACATAGGCAAGCCTTCCATTTAAATAAAGTTCTACCTCCACAGTCTCCTAGGAAGTCTGCAACTCTGTAATCGTACCTGATATTATCATAACTGTTCATTTTCATAAATTATTTTTAAGAAGACTACTTTTTAAAAGATATGAATAAACACTTAAAAAAGGATTACCATACTGTCTCCAGTCCGCAGTAGGAGGCAAATTCAGCCACAGAATAAAGTTATTTAGTTCATTTAAGTAGGATGGCAGTGAATGGAAACCCTTTTGGTTGTACCACACCTGGAAGAGAGAATAGATATTGTAAATCAAAATGGCTTGAATCAGACACCAGATCTGAAAGCTCCCAGATTTTAAAGAATTGTATAAAGATATCTAAGATGAATGGTCCTGTTAAGGCACCTATTTATTAAAAAAAAAAAAAAAAAAAGTGACCTAAGCAAAACAGAATCTTGTAATCCATCCAGGTCTTTCAGAGTGCAGCAAGTTGTTTTTTTACTGCTGGAGAAGGTCACTTATCTTGATTAAAATTGAAATTCTCTGGTTTAATGGAACACTCTCTCCCATCCTTTACACGTATTTGGTCAAAGAGGAGGAAAAACAATGCAAGAGTAACATTTGCCAATTTAATTGGAAATACAGAGAGATGGGGAAAACTAGTGTTACAAGTGGAGAACATCAGTTTATGAAATTTCAAAAGGACTTATCTAAGTAATACTTGCAAACGATTCATAGCATAAAACATCTAGGTCCAGAGTACACACTAGCAAATGGGGAAAGAAAGAAACAAGGAGGCACCCTTTACACAGGCACCCTTTTTCACCTCCACACACCCCCATTTCTTCTTCAATCTTGTTTGGTAAGATTTGTGCAGAAGAGAAAGTTAAACATGTATAATGAAAATCCACTGCAATTACATTCATTGTATTGGAAAAAGGCAATTAAAAAACAATAAGGCAAAATTCTGATGACACATTCTCAGTTAATTGAAGCAGGGCAAAGGTCTCAAGTATTCACAGAATACCTTAGAAACATAATAACGTGACCAATATTCAAAAGAAAAGGCAACAAAACACAATAGAGCATTGTGTGTAACTGCACTTTTCAATATCCTGCAGAGTAATTGGAATTCTTCATTCAAGCTGAATTATGCAACTGAATCAAATCACCAGGAAATAACTGAATTAAAGCTGGATGTTTAATTGTTTATAATCTGACAAAAAGAGAAGAGAGATGAGTCTTTGAGGTTGTTCTCTTCATCAGAAGAAACATTTAAGTCCTTTTTCTGAAGTCTTGTGGCTTATTGATTGCAAACTAAAATAAAAGTTATATAAATATTTAGTTCCAGCCAAAGTACTTGGCATATTCTCTGTGTGCCACTCCCGTAATTGTGTATGTGGGTGGCGGCAACCAGGAAGGAGATAAGCAATGAAAAAATATATACACTAACATGGTTAATTTTTTTTTTTAATCATTTTATCTTCCAACCATGGTTGATAAAATTCCTTCCCCAGAGAAAACACTACCACTCCCCATATTAGAAATATGTAGTGCAAAGACGTGTTTCCCATTGTTCCATACCACTTATACCCATTTCAAAATAATGCTAGACTGATGTTTTGACTGACTAATCTACAGCCTGTCATGAATATTCAGTGATCAAGAAAAAAGGGTGAGGAGGGAGAGATAAATCCCTGAGGATATCTGGACAAAATTCACAATGAGGAGGCAGGCAGAATGGGCGTTCAACTGGAGAGATGTAGCTTCCTCCAAATACTTTTACTAGCACTGTACGGTAAAGCCTCAAATCATAATATTTCAGATTAGAGCTTCAAAGTGACAGATAAATAGTACAAATTGCCTTCCAGGACTATTTAATTTACCACATGTTCTTCCTATTTTCAATGATGTTACAAACAGTAACTATGAAACCATTATGGAACACTTCTTGCCTACCTTATCAAAACAAACCAAGGAATATATCATCAGGAAGTCTGGAAAAGCCAGGAACAAGAGTTGAAAAGTTACTGCACTTTGCCGTGTAGCAGGGTTCATCAACGAATGTCAGTAGTCAGTGCTTTTAGTCAGACACATTCAGCTTATGCTAGATATGCTCTCTCTCATGCACGCACACATACACGCTCTGTCTTTGTAAGTGGTATCTGCAGCACACTACTACAGCTAAAGTAATAGACATCTTTCAGAATTCAAGTAGGCATTTTTAATTTGAACTGTAGAAATGTGATTGGCTTTTGCAGTAGAGGAGAATAAGATAAGGATTCAGACATTTTCTAACATGAAATGAATCGTACAGTAAGCCTCTTCAGATGCAAATTTCTGATTTTCTTTCATAAGAGGCTATGTAAATGCTACCTTCACTGTCTCGCGAACAAGCCTGAAAGGTCAAAGTAAAAGTCTGGTCATTAATTACTGAAAGGTTAATGCAATAATTTGACATTGCATCAGTTGAAAGCCACTTTCAGGAGGTATTTTAGACAACACAGTGCCCTTTATAAACCTACTCCACTATTTTCTTTGGCTCTGAAATACGAAGCTTACTCCATAACAGTATAACCATAATTTATCCTTATGCTGAGGGCAGGTAGAGCTGTGTGCCAAAGACGTTTAAAAAAGGACCCTGATAAAGACCACAGTGCAGTAATGTCACAACAAGCATCTAAAATGATTAAAGAAATAAAGGACGAAAACAGTAGTCAGAGAAATACATCTTAGCGCAATCCTCTAGGACTTCAAGTTCCTAATTAAGGATTGATGGAACTGGAGTTCAAAGCTGTAAGAGCCAAGGATGAATGACCTAAATGAAAATATATGAGTTGATAGGTAGATTTTTAAACAAAACTACATGTAAAAGGCTTTGCAAACAGTCAATGTTTTTACAAAATTAAACATGAAATGATGTTGGCAAGGAATAGAGAATATCTGCATCTCATTTTCACTACCCTTTGCCTTCAAAAGGGATTTTAGGATAGAGCATAGTTGCACTGTTCTTTCTCTTCTTCATTTGTAAGAAGCAAATAAAACCTAGTTTCTAAACCCTATAAAGTAACTTACAGGCAGAATTATCTTCCTTTCATGCTCTGACTTAGGAGGCAGAACGTCCAGCTTTCTTAAAATAACAGATGCCTCTGTTAACGTATCTGTTTCAGCTCAGATAGAATAACAGAGGCAACTTGCTAAGATTCTTCAACACTCCTTGGAAACTGCAGTTCCTCTCCTTGTTACTGGTCTACATTTGCATGGACCTCGAAAGAAACTTTCAGGCATTCCTAAGGAAAAAGATATCTTGCACTGATAATTCCCTATTAGCATCTAGATCCCATACCAAGTTTTCACAGCATGGAGATACTTTATGTTTCCCATGTGTCTCAAAAGGCCTCAAGAAAAGGCTCCTGATTTGAGTTGCACTTAGAGCAATCCTTCTGTCCCTGGCTCTCAGGGGCAGCTCCAGTCAGAAGACAGGAGATATGAGTGGCAGTGCAAGGCAGTATGATACACTATCAGAAGAGACTCAGATGTCAAATGTTTGACCTATAGCACAATTTCAACAAAATACGCTTCTGTTTCTCTAGGAGAAAAAGTGAATAATAGTTATTTATATTTCAAAAGTGGATTACAAATGCAGAGTGGCACGTTTCTTATGCAGAAGTAGATACTCCTAAAACCTAAATTTTTGGATTTTTTTAAAGCAATCAAATTGAAGGAGGGGAAAAAAGGGAAAAAGGAAAAATCTAGCAAAGAAAAATATTCCTCCTTGCAGGAATGAAAAAACCCACAATAACAACTCTTTTTTTAAAAGTTCAATGGACTTTTGTCATTTCTAACATTGACTTTTTGTAGAACACAAAGAATACTGAAGATTATTAGGGCTGACCACCAGAACAGAAGTTTTAAAGGTGAGCTCAGTTAGATTCTAAAGTAGCTTCAGAGGAAAAACAACAGAAATCATAGCAATTGACTCATTTAAAGCTGGATTATTCAGAACACTGGAGAATACTTTAAGAATTATGAACAGAGAAATGGACTGTAAGATCCACAGGGTTTCTCCCAGTTTCTACACATGAGGATTTTATGCAACAATTTATTATTTGTTAAGGACTGGTAAGTCTGGAACCTGAATAGATCAGTGATACATGCGTATGCACATACTCACACACCCCTTACCTTGGCCAGAGGCTTGTATTTGGTATTATTCAATTTTAGATCTTGAAGTTCAAAGGCTTTCTTCTCTCCAAAAGACCAGCCACCATATCTAATAATATAAAATAAGGTAATAGTAAATTACCTGCCTTAAGCTTTGTCTTCCTTAGCAGTTTTTTCTGACAACAGAAGTGGAAATATCTACACTAAGCTTTATTTTTCCAACTGAAGTAAAACTTAACCTCTCACAACTGGTATGAGAGAACACAAAGTTTTGCTAGAGGGTGCAGTTGGGTGGCGGGGCAGAAGGGAGAATTAGAAGCAAGCAACCAGCCTTATTAGTACAAAGAAAAGATTAAGTTGAGCACATGCACCAATATTTGACTCAGTCTCTGAGGAAAAGAAACTACATTGCTTGTCTTGTGTCTTCTTTCTTTGAGAGGATGAAAACACTCCTTGTGTGGCAAGCAGAGTCAGGCCACGCCTACAGGCAATTCTCATGCAACTGCTGGAGAAAACTGAGCAGTTACCATGGTGGAGGCTCCATGTTGCCTTGGCCTGGTTATACACCTTGATAACAACAAATAGAAAAAGGCAGCTACCCCTCGTATAGCAAGTGATATAGGTCTATGCTTTGGATCAGGAAGGGCAGTGTGTTTTATACACAGAGGATAAACATATGTTATGTATTTTAAGATTACCTTGGTCTGTTGGAAGGTCTGACTAAATATTCTTCCACACGGAACCCTGAAAGATTATACAGAATATGCCCTTTCTTATTCTTCACATAGGGAGCAGAGATATTGAAACTTGGACACATCTGGAAAACAACATATATAAAACAGTAAAACACTCTTAAAAACTTGTGCCACTCACTATGTTTAGCCATATTTTTGAACTTGTACTCAGACTTTATGGCATTGCTTTTCAACTGGATTTGCCTTTCTCAGCTTTGATAACTTTTCAATAAATTATGTATGGTTTTGTGTTTATAAAGCGTTTAAATAATTGTAGCTGTCACCTACATATCAGAGCCACTTTTGATTTCTCTTGCAACTCTGTTAAACAGTCAGCTTTGTTTTGAAAGCATCAAAACCTATATACAAGTTTGGAAAAACTTACGGCAATGAAAAAGGCAACAAGACTTTTAGGGTTGTTATTACTCACCTGCTAGGTCTGAAAATAAACACAAAAAATGCACTAGATGAATACGAGATGAAAAATTCTAATTCACACAACATTCTTTAGAAGTTTCCCTGATGGACTGTAGGTGGAAAATAATGAAAGATGTTTTCTAATGATTTTTTGGGATATTCTCACTGAACCAAAGAAAAGAAGTCAGATGATATAAACAGAAGTTTGGGAAATCTCATAAATAAAGGTAACAACAGAAAAATTTTAATATTTCTTTGACATCTGAACCTTACACAAGTCAAAAGTCACTCAGAGATTCCGGTTTTCCACATCTCCAAGGCTGTCTCCATTGTTAAGTGACTTCTCTCCTTCCCGCTTACACGGTAAGAGGCCTTGTCCTGAGCCCGAGTTCCTATTCCCATTTTAACCTTCTTGCATTCAAATATATGTCTCTCTAGTATAACAGGCAAACGTGCTCCTTGCCTAGCGAGTCAAAAATTAGTTTTTCTCCCTTTTACTTTTCCCAAAATCGTAAGACGATGCTTCAGATCCAGTTCTTACTCTAAATAAAGTCTTTCCTTACCAAGTATATAAATATTAGGTGCAATAGTCTCATCTAAGCAAATAAATTTGTCTGCATAGCCAGTTTGACATTCTCATTTATTACTCTTCTCAACCTCAGAGAAGATCAGCAGGCAAACTCACTAGCCAAGACATTCAAAAATTCTCTTTCAAGATCTTTTCTTTCCTCAAAGACTGTTTTATTTTCAGATATAAGATCCAAAGCAAAATCAAATTCTAATAAAAATCTCAGTCACAAACAGATTTCCTGGTAGCATCTGTTAGCAAACCTTTCCCTTTTAAAATTAGACAGTCTTCCAGCCTGTCTGATGTTATGTTTTAACCGTTTACATGCATATTTTGTAAGCAAAGCCCTGTATTGCATTTAAAGCAAAATTTTGCCTGCTGTTAAGAGTTCAGCCGTCTTTCATTCCTGTTACTTTAGATCAGCCTAGATTCATCTCTACTGCACACACATATTTTTCTATCTAGTTATCAGTGAACACGGCAAAGCCGTTTGGAAGCTTTCCAATGCAGTAGTTTTGTTAAGAACTGCTGATTAACTGAAAGTAAAATCTTTCACAAAAAAACACTTTTGTTTCATGGTTTCCCTGAGGACATAAGAGTCAGGACTTCCATACTGCACGGCTGTACGGCAGCCTTCCGACACAAACTATCCCAAAATGAAGGGTTATAAAAGTTTCTAGAATATTCTGAGATGTCAGTTATGTCAATCCTAGTCACCCCCTGTCCTGGCTCCTTGAAAGAGCATATTTCACTTTGTAAACATTGCAATATGTTTTGGTATAAAAAAAAGTGTTGTAAGATGTCCTTCTAACATTTTTCAAAAGGTGCATACTTTACCTTTGCTCAGGATGCAAAGCTTTAAGAAAGCTCAAGACCTGATTAGTTCTACATGCAGGTATCATATTTTTATTACTACTACAGACTACATTCAGTAAACTATTAGGTATTGGTTTAGTCAGTCTTGACATATTTAGATTTATGCAAAAATGCACTTCAATATACTTTGAGGGAAAGCGTATACTGCAACTTTTTTCTTGTTAATTTGTTTCTAAGATATCTGTTTCACACAAAATATCATCACAATAATTCATTTCTGGAAGAGGCAACAGTTTTACAATGTTAACACACTGACTGCAGGCTTCCTCTCGAGACTGCAGGTCCTTTCCCTTAAGGCTTCATAACACATAATCCAAACGTTAGAAGAAATAGAAGGAAAATCCTATTATAACAAAGCCAGTACTCTGAGGGTTTACTTCCTCATCTCCTACTCTCAGAACTGCTCCTTCTTCAAAAAGAAAAGGATCAAGGGGGAAAAATGTATATATATACATATATATATATATAAACTTACATAACTACATGGATACTTATGCATGTGTACTACACGTGCATACATATAATATAAATACATACTTATATATAAAAGGACATACCTCCTGTTCAGCCACACATCCACATGAATATTGGTGTGAAGTAGATTCCATCTGCCAACATGAATTATTTTTCCTAATGCAAAAAAACCCAACAGGAGTAACCATTAAGAGAAAGAAATACATTACTTAACAGGAAAAATCCACAGAGTAACAAGCAGATGTGGCATACTGATTACCTTCTTAGTATTTTATCATAACAGCAGTTTTGTGTGAAACTATCTCAATTTTACTCATTTAGACCAAAGCAGAGTCACTACAAATATTTATGTATGTAAGCAATGAATTAGCTGTACACCTGGTGTTTGCATGCATAAGATCAACCAGCCACGGTCACCACTCTGCATTCCTAAGTTTGGAAATCTAGGCCTCCTCTTAATAAACACTGTAATTATTGTCTAACCTTCAGTCATATGGACACCAGACTTGATCAAAATCCTCTGGAAATTAATGGGAAAGCTGTCATTGACTTCTAAGGGATTTGGATCAGACCTTTAATAAAGGGGCCTACTTATGTATTTCACCTGAATGCTAGTTCTTTCATCAGCGCATATTTGTTATTAATCTCACAATGCCAAGAAAATCTTAAAATAGTCCACACTATATAGAATAAAATACTGAAATTACAGCTTATTTACAACATTTATTTTTACCCATTCTTTTACCTTCAGATCCATCAATACTTTTGAATTATTTTTCTTACCAGATATATTTAGCAAAAATTATTTCCAGTCCCAACAAACAGCTAATGATTTTTTTACTGTTAAGTTTTATGGAATAAAATTGTAATTATTGGTTTCTTCATCAATGTTGGGGCCTCTCTGTCAAATTAGCAGCAAGAGTTAAATCAGAATAGAGCAGTTCTACTAGTAGTTACATATTCACAGTTACCCTTGTTTTGAACGCATGCATGCGTGGTCCACATCAGAGAAATGTCTCAGCAGAATGTGAGAAAGGTCTCCTAGGCTATCATCTTCAGCACTGTTCAAAGTGGGCCACAGAAAACAAAACAAAACCAAAACATGTTAATATTCTGTTACAACTAATAGAACTCTAATAAAGCTCTAATAGAACTATATCTGGTTCTATTAATTTTCAACTTGAAGACTCTACATGTTTACTAAGAAATTAAAGAATTACAAAAGCCATATATAAGGAAGATACCAAAATGGCAAAATGATCTCATTTCAAAAAACTACATGTAAACTGTTTCCATGTAGAGAAAATTCAACATTATTATTATTAAACAAATCTCAGCTTCTCAGAGCTGTCCTTGTTGTAAACATGCATTCCCAAGTTTGCAGTCTTGCCTTTTTTTTGTTTTTAATCTTTTATGTTTCATTTATAAATTCAAACAGCTGTCATCTTTATGAAGATATTTGGATATCTATCCAGTAGAGAAGACAACCTGTATCTGTGATACGCAGTTGACAGAGTAATTCAGAACTGAGCTACAGATACGTTAGGTGCCAAAAAAAAAAATTTTTAAAAC